GGTGCCACTGCGGCCATGGAGCTCCACGGGGGAGCAGATCTGCACCTGCACCGGGGAAGGGCCCCACGTCAGAGCAGTGGAAGAGTGTGAGGAGGAAGGAGCAGCAGAGACATCATGTGATGTCTGCAGCCCCCATTCCCCATCCCCATGTGCCACTCGAGGGGAGGAAGGAGAGAATTCAGGAGTGAAGTTGAACCTGGGAAGAAGAGGGGTGTGGGGGGAAGGTGTTTTAAGATTTGTTTTTTATTTCTCATTATCCTGCTCTGATTTGATTGGTAATTGTGGTGGTGCAAGTCCCCCCCACCCCTTGCTCTGCCTTGGAGCAGAGAGTTTGGCGGTTAAGGACCCCTTGACTGTACCAAGAGCTCTTGCGTAAATGGGAGTAACTCACCATCCCCAGACAGCCTTGGAACATATCTTATCTAGCTGTGATTCGGGTAGATCAGTACCAGCGTCATTGGGATGTCAAGAATTCTAGCAATTACTAACAAATGATTTGTGTCAAGGATGGAAATTTACTGATGCTTAAAGTCAATCATCTCCCAGTCCTATAAATAGTCATCCCAAGTGAGACCCTTTGAGCTCTCCTGGACCGCAGTGGGCTGCAACGAGCATCTCCCTCTGAGTGGGACGCCTCTCGGAGCCCATGAACCCTCAAGTTCCCGATCAACTCAGAGGCTCGCCTGTGCACCCGTTGAGCGATGCAAAGTATTCGATGCGAGTATTCGACTGAATTTGAGGGAGGCATTTAAAGATACCTTTGTAAATATTTGACTCTTCTTTATAGTTCTTTAAGTGTCTGATCTTAGTATGTTGCTATGATTTAATACTGTGATTTATCTCAAGACCATTAATCTTAGTAAGTTTTAGGTTAATTATGTTACTAAGTTTTATATGATTTGATATTGTGATTTATCTCAATAGTGTCAGTGCACCAAGCACTACACCAGAATCCCTGATACCCTATCACTTTAGTCATAAACTGTTGACCAAGTCTGGGACTAGGAGTGGATTCAGACGCACATAGACTCCTCTCTGAGAAGGACTTCAGAAAGCATGGGGGTCCACTCTGAACATCATGAGTCAACGGGAGAGCATTCCTTTATTTTCCTTACCTAACCTTAGTCTTAAACCATTGACCAAGTCTGGGACCAGGGGTTGATTTCGGTCCACTCTGAACCTCATGACTCAACAGGAGGGTCTTCCCTACTTTCTCTCCTCAATATACATATAAGTTACATTAACCCAATACGATCCACGAGCAAATCATTCCAATCTAAATGTAACTTGGTTTCTCTTTGTACACCTCATGTTAAGTGAGTAATAGAGTGAACCTTGCCATCGAATTCTAGTAAGTTGTACCTTTCTACAAATCTATATTAAAATCATTCGTTTTCTGATATCTTTGGTGGTGACTCTTTAAGTGGCCCTACCACTCGTTCATGACAAATTGGTGTAGTCGGCAGGCTATGAACCTGTGCAGGGAAATCCCAATGGATTTCCATAATAACCCCATAACCCCATGGATTTCCAGTAATAAATTAAAATAATTTTCCCCAAGTCAAGTCTGTTTTGCCCATGAGATCTACTTGGTGAGCGATTTCTCCCTGTCCTTATCTTGACTCACGAGCCTTTTGTGATGTTTTCTCTCCCCATCCAGCTGAGGAGGGGAGTGATAGAGCAGCTTTGGTGGGCAAAGCCAGGGTCAACCCACCACAGTATTTATGATACTCTACAGGCTGAAATCACCCAGCAGCAGAAACAGATATAAGCACTGTTAAAGGTTAGTGGCAAACAACAGCATTTCCAAATGCACGTGCAAACCTGCTCCATTCATGTGCTCAAATGAATGCTGAAATTGATGAAAAGCTTTGAGAAGGTGAGACTATTCACTACTGAAAGATGGAATAAGGAAAACGTTCCTTATCCAGCAGTCTCCATTTGCTGTGAACATTTTAATTCATTTTACATACCAACCTCAGGATAAATGATGCATCCCAAACAAGGCCAGCCAGAGCACAGCATTGCCAGGCAAAGTGGCCATGGTTTCAGGACAGCAACTCCTATAGCACCAATAATTACAATAACGCTGCTACGCTCTGTATGGAAAAACATCTGCAGAACTGCTTGGGACTGAATCTTATGAACTCAGCCCACTGCTGGATAGGAGATGTCCACACTCCTTAGGGAATGGTGGGAAGAGCACAGTGAGGCCAATTCCTAAAACAGGAAGGTTACTACAAGTTCCTCCACAGGATGACCCAGCAATCCACCAAAGTCAACAGAAGGAATGGTATATTTGGAATGACTTCCCCACACCTGGCATTCAGGTACCATCCCAAGATACCCAGCCTGGAGAGAAGAAGCCTCCTCAGTCAGACAGCCCAGAATCCAATACAGGAGGTCAGATACCCAGCCTGGCCCCTGACCTGCGCAGGGATGGATGGCAACCCAAGAGATCTACTTGCTTGCCTTGGCCATGGCCACTGTCTGACCACCAGCTGCCTCATCTCTTTCAGGTTGTGCTCATCTCTCCCTCTCTAACCAGGACATCCCAAAGGCTTTTCCTCTGGGGGAAGGAAGAAGTGGCTGAGTAGTCTTCTACCTAGAAAAAGGACCTCTCCACGCCATGAGCTGTCAACACTTCCACATCTGAATGCCCAAACTGCCACTTTTTCAACAGCAGATATTTGGAGGCATTGCAGGTTGGGGATCCAAGGTCAGAAACAAGTTTTGGCTGAGATCCCCAAGAAAGATGGTTTCCTCTAACCTCACTGTATCCCAACACAAATAAAAATGGTGGGTTTATGGCATCGAAAACATAGTTCTACTCTGTGCAGCACTTTCAGAACCATCTGCAAGCATCACCAGGGTTAGATCAAACACCATACAGTGCACATGTTACCTTTCAAAGACAACAGATGAAGCCCAGCTCTGAAAGAATTATTATTAATCCAAGTGAAGGTGAGAGAAAAGCACTCAAGAAAGGATAAGCTACAGGAGAGTCCCAAGTGAGCATCTTCCACCATGACATTACTGACAGCTGGAAAATGCAAAGGTGTTGCAGCACAAGGCTTACCAGCTGTGGATTGGTGCCATTGGAAAGAATATCCAATAAATCTGCAGAAGAAATGAAGTAAAATCTGGGAAAGGCCAACCTCTTCATGTCCAAATATTCAGCCAAAGCCTTCTCACACAGAGACAACCTGGGGAGACAAAGCAGATAAACAGAGCCCAGGACAGGTGGATAAATATCCTTTCATGTTTCCTGTTACAGTTTGGATTATCATGAAGATTCTCCCCTACCATGAGGAAATGCCAGAAATGAGCTGAGCCTGTAGGCTGGTCCTCTACAGCATTTTCCAGATAGATCAACATAGCACATAGTAACTCATAGATCTCTCTCTACTCCCAAGGGTCAAACAGCTTACGAGTCAGAGAAGCCTCATAAAAAAGCAGAAACACAGGTGGAAGAAGAGGCTCGAAAGGGTTTGCAGTCTGACCTACTGTTTTAGACAAGCTCATAACTGTCACAGGTGATTTCACACTGGGATGAAAGTTTCCATAACTGCTTTTATTCTAATGAGACGCATTTTAAAGTCTGATTCAGACCTACTCAGATTTTTGTGTTTGTGAAGCCTGAAAGGAAACTTGTTCGATCCAATCTAAAATGAATCTTTCAGCGTTTCCATGCTAAACCGCTGCTGCGCTTACAAAGTTCATAACTAACATGCAGCTAGTCCTCTGTGAAGAATGCAGGCCTTATCTGATTAAAAAATAAAACAAAATCTTTATTTTAAATGGATAGTTATTACTGACACAACAGCTATCATATTAACATATGACTAGATCATATGTTAAGTGGGAAGTCTATCCACCTCAGGACACTAAGTCTTTCTCACAGAGTCTAGCTATACCATGTGTCAAGGGTATACATGCAGAGATAATTTTGTAAGTTAAAGAGCATGGGCTCAGCTTTGCTGCAGATATCCCTGCTTGGACTGCCAAATAGATATTTAAGACATTGTATTTGGGGTGGCAGCAAGGCCATGTGTTATTAAAACCAGCCGAATGCCTAGCTTTGTATGGGTGCAAATCAATATTCAGGATGAGAATTTTCACATACACAAAGCCAGACTTGAATCTGGGGGCTTCAGGGTGATGTATCACAAATAAAAAGACTCAAGAAAGATCAGAAATGTTGCGACTTATGAACGCAAGGAATGCACAGTCTAGGAAGAAAGCCTTGGAGCACAGGTTAAACAAACTTAGAGTTGATTCCAGTCTCTGCCAAAATCCTGGGATTTTTGAAGTTCTACCTACCTACTCTGAATGTCCTCCAGTTGCTGGGACAGACCTGGTTTATTGGTGGCCTCAACTACATTTGGGGTTTTCTGGGTTTCATAGGCCAGTTCCTTAAAATCCACATCAATCCCTTCAAAGCGTTTGGAGTCCTAAAAAGCGATACAAAGAACACATCCACAGTAAAACACTAATTTTGCGCTGAAAGTTCCCATCCTCTGGGTGCTTTGGAGAGCGCTGGGCACACCTCGCTTACTGGGTAATATATACAGGTGCTAATAACCTGTGCACCAACTCCAAAGGGGTTGAGGGAAAAGACTCTCTGCAGAGAGCCTCCTGTCCAGTGCAGAGAAGGACCTGACCATGTGAGAAGGGCTTTTCCAGCCATGCGCCCCAAACAATCGGGCACTCACTGCCTTCTCCCTGTATCCCAAAAGGGTCATGGATAAAGTGATCCATGCAGAATCCAATGCCTTGAACCAATGATTTTCATGGGATTGAACTCCCTTTGAACATCTCCTCATAACTCTTCCTCTCCCATGTCCAGATAAAATACCAAGTTTTTGATATTTCAGAAGATGCTCCCATATGGGGAAAGGCTATCGACTCCATGTGAGTTCACTCTTCTCCTCTTGCTACAATGTAGGAGTCCCAGTGCCCATCCCTGAAATGGGTATATCGACACTTGCAGAGAAGAGGCCTTCCTTGCCTTGAGTAAGGCCGTAGAAACCCCATGTTGACAGCAGAAGACAACGCTGGCAATTGTACTCTGCACCTAACAGGGAACCAGAATTTCTGGAGTTACCAGTGAAGAATAAATAAGGCTATGTTCAAAATGTCTCTGTTCCACTCTTCTTCCCAAGCCAGGCCTCCCAAGTGAGCCAGGACACTGAATAAAAGTGCTCCAAGCTTTCCTGGTAACACTTCCACGTCAAACCTGTGTTCAGCCCCAGTAGCAAGTCTCTGGCTGCAGAGTTGAGCACACTGTGAATCCCATGCACTGCTTACACATCCTCCCCAGATCTGGATGAATCTCAAGTAGGTTCAGCCTCCAGAGGGCTTGAGCTTCATCCTTTCTTCTAAGGAAGGGAAGCTGCTGGTACGTGCCACCTACCAGATGGGTATTGAGAATGCAGACAGCTGCTCAGCAGAATGCAAATTTAAATAATGATGCAATCTCATAGAATCATAGAATACTTTGGGTTGGAAGGGAGCTTTAAAGGCCATCTAGTCCAACCCCCCTGCCATAAGCAGGGACATCTTCAACCAGAGCAGGTTGTTCAGAGCCCCATCTAACGTGACCTGGAATCTTTCCAGGGATGGGGCATCTACCACCTCTCTGGGCAACCTGGGACAGGGTTTCACCACTCTTACTTTGGGAAAAATTTCTTCCTTAGATCTAGTCTAAACCTGCCCTCTTTTAGTTTAAAACTATCACCTCTTCTCCTATCGCTACAGGCCCTGCTAAAAAGTCTGTCCCCATCTTTCTCCTCAGCCCCTCTCAGCCCCGGCAGCTGCAGGAAGGTCTCCCCGGAGCCTTCTCTGCTCCAGGCTGAGCCCCCCCAGCTCTCCCAGCCTGTCCTCCCAGCAGAGCTGTTCCAGCCCTCGGAGCATCGCTGGGGCCTCCTCTGGCCCCGCTCCAGCAGGTCCATGTCTCTCCTGTGCTGAGGGCTCCAGAGCTGGATGCAGCACTGCAGGGGGGTCTCCCCAGAGTGGGGCAGAGGGGCAGAATCCCCTCCCTCACCCTGCTGGCCACGCGGCTTTGGGGGCAGCCCAGGACATGGTTGGCTTCTGGGCTGCGAGCGCATGTTGCCGGCTCATGTCCAGCTTTTCATTCATCAGTACCCCCGAGTCCTTCTTCTTGCAGGCTTGCTTTCCACCCCTTCATCCCCCAGCCTGTGCTGATACCGGGGGTTGCCC